GCGACTTTTTTTTCTCAATTAGATAAATGATCTTGATAAAATGCAACGAAAAAAAGATGCACTAATTCGTCGACAAATTAAACGAAGAGAAGAATTATTACAAAAGAAAGTTGAACGACAAAGTATTCTGACTAAACGACAAGAAGAATATCGGTTAATATTTTTGATAAACTATGAAAGATATACGCTGTTTATTGAGTTTTATGTTTAGATTATTCGAAGAATTTATGGCTCAACGTCGAAATGACGATAATGTAAGACGAAATGCAATATTACAAGCACATGTTGAACAAAGACGAATTGAAGCAGATTCTGATTCAAATCAAAATTATAATATTGTTAGATTAAGACGAAAACCATCATTAATGTTCAATAGTTCACTCTGTAGATTAGATGATGAGAATAGTTTTGGATCGAATTTTGATTTATTCAAAGCAAAAAGTAGTTTAGATACTTATTGAGCATTTGTTTTCTTCATAATAAATTTTTTCTCATCTTACAGTGCAAACTCCTCGGCGATGCATGACACGCTTTGATTCACCAACAGTTTCATTTCAATCAAAAATGAATCGTACTGTTAGTATGTCAAATGTTGAAAATTTATACGAATCAAACACATCGATAGCTACAATGGACTTATCCTCAAAATTACCATTTGGAGGTAGTCTCATGAATTTAGCTACACAAGATTATTCACCATTTGGAACAAAATATTTACCTCGACGAAAAACGTTAGCAAATAGCTATGATTTATCATCACTAAGTGCATCATGCACATCATTAGCAACAACAGGCAAGTAACACCATCATTCTCGAGTTCATTTTGACTAAATGTTAATTTGTCTTATTTCTTTTAGTTGGTAATCGTATAGCAAGAAATCAAGGATTACTATCAAAATCAAATAAACAATCAACATTAAATTCACTTAAACAAGTTGTACTTGCTGGTGGAGCCAATAATCATCAACGAGAAATTGTATATCGAGTAAGCATATTATTTTAATTTTCTTCATTTTTTTGTTTTATATTTTATGTTTTTTTTTTCTTTTATAGGAAGTTGAATTGAGTGATCATAGACATTTTGTAATATTATTTCGCGATCATCGTTTACAATATCGTGCAATATATACTTATATATCAGACACAGATATTATTGAAAAACTACATGGAATTGGTCCACAAATTATCAAAGAAATTATGATAGAAAAGTTTTATAAGTAAGGTTTTACATATTTGAATTTAATTACAATTTAATTTTTTATCGTTTGATATTCTGTTTCTATTTTTAGATACAATTCTGGTAGTAAACAATTTTCTAACATTCCTATTAAACATTTTTCCATACAATGTGATGCTGTTGTAATACATAACGATTTTTGGCAAAAAAAACTTTTAAATATGAAATATTAGATAGATTTCTTCGTGATTGTTTCCATACCGTTCAAGAACCAATATGTTCTTAATTATCAGAAGAAAAACGAATTCATGTATCTCTCCATCAATCTCTTTTGTATATAAAATTCTGTTTTTGTACATGTGATTTTCTATTTCATTACTTTAAAAGCAGAAAATTTTATATGAAAAAAAATCATATGAAGGTAGGCAGATGGACAAATATTTAACAGAGAACGTTTTGCACTTTTTACGGATATGTTTTATAGCTAAAAAGAGAACGGATAATATTGTTTGGAGAACAATTTTTGAATTTTTTTCACGTAATTAAAAATAAAGTATATAGTTTAAAATACGATAACTAGATGGGAGTGCGACCTAGATCTACATCACGTGATGAATAATATGATTGTACAACATACTCGCGATGCATTTCATCATCGTTCAACAAAATATAAGTATAAATACGCAGTAAACACGGTCAATTCTAGAATTTAACGCAATCTAGAGCTATGCCAAGACTCGATTGAAAAGTAATCAATAGATTTACAACTAACGATACGTTAATCGAATTTATCACAAGCAATTCAGTATCAAAATTTCGATCAGAACGAGTATTGAGTGGTATAAAATTATCTTATCGGTGTTCGTCATACAAAAAATATCCTGACCTTACTTTTCAAGTACAAGCAATCATTAATAGCTCGCAACAAATAACCGTTAGCACATCAAGCACTTACAATGATATTACTCGTTTACCATTGACACGTGCGCCATCACCTGTTCGTAAGATTGTTTAATGAACAGTGACAGCTAAATTAACTCAATCGCAAATTCGTTTAACTATACAAAATGAACAACCTCAACAAGTATCTCCTGCTAAAATATTTAGTTTATTAAACTATTATTGTTCGTTGACTCATCAATTTATTTATTCTGTCGATGATTTTCGTTCATGGTGTCATCAGCGATCATTAACACCCAATTTAGCTGCATCTCATGATGTTTTCGTACCAAGATTCACCATTGATTCTTGTGATCGAGTATTTATTTTCTTTACCATGCGTCGATTAGTTTCTGTTGGTAGTTTGTTATCATTATTACAAGTGGACGTTTAAGGTAAACTGGAATGAACTACTATATTAGTCTTTTATAGTATTCGTTGTTACCTTGTTATATTAGTAGTATTGTCATTCCATCGTCTCATCCAAGTCAAATGAATGTTGCAACATGGCTACAACAATATTCTTTAATGACATAGTCTACATTTCGTGATTTCTCGATTTAGTTGTTTTCCGGTTGTCTCATTACAGCTCCGTTGATACGTAGTTGTAAACAAAATTTGAAAATATATGTTTATAAACATGCATTAGGAATAATCATACATTTTGGATATTATCATGTTCAAGATCCGTCAAAATTAGAAAAGTTTGCTAGAAAACGGGGTCAACCAAAACAGGCACGCTTCATTAACGGTAGATTAAACGCTGATAATCAGAGGCATTTATCATGCAATGACTAATATACGCGACATCTTATTGTCCTCAATATATTTTATTGGAGAACTGATTTCTGTGATTTCTAAAACTAGCGCTTAGATTTTACGGTGTATTCTTGCAAGTCCTTATGTCAGAGCACTGCAAGAAAAGAAACTATTCGCAAATCACTCACTCATGCTGTGGACCTAGTTTACAGGGAATTCGGCTGAAACAAACACAGACACCGACTCATCAACAAAATTTTGCATAGGGAATGATTGTTCTACTCTAAGTACTTTTCAAACTAAATGACTATTATGCAGCGCAAGATGCTCGAAGGCGTCTTCAGTTAGGAAAAACGATGTATAATCAGTAAAAGATTAAGTTTTTTGTAACGGAATGTTTTCTCTAGATAGAAATTTGTATTTTGTGTCAACGATGAATAATAATAGTAATATCGCTAAAATAATTTAACAATTTTTAATTGGTAATGTTTTTTATTCTCGATACTTGACGAAACATAAAATCTCTCGAAAAGCTCCCTACGCCTGTCCAAACAATTCAAGATAGGAGAGGTATAGTTCAGGATAGAAGGGTAAGACATTTTAAACTCTTTTGGACCAACATTCAGTAGGGTTTTAATATCTTTTGAAAAAAGGTTAAAATTGAGAAGTTTCACTAGATTTTCAAGAAGAAACACTGCCAAGAGATTCACTATGGTTGATAGCCTGTTTTTTCACGTATCTCTGAAATTCTCAGACGAAAGTATCGATTCTGGTCCCAAAAATTACGCTCGCGCTTGAAAACTAATAGTGAGACAAAGAGGTTGGAAGGATGTGTAGATAGATAACAGTTCAGTGGTTCAAACCTACGTCTACAAATCAAAAATTCATTGGATAGAAGTTATATGTAATATTGCTGTGAAGAATGCACTTATTGTATTTGTTTTAAATAGAAATTCTACTGTGGGACCCTATAGAATTTCTGCAGAAATCTTTCATGTCTAATCCTACAAGATTCTAGTAGGGCTCTATTAGAATTATTTGATATTAGATCTCAAAAGCCAAAGTTGTCGAAGACTAACTGAAGATATCATTGTATAGCGCAATTCAAGTGCTGCAATCTCAATTACTTATATTCATTTTTAGAAGTGTGCTGGGAAAGACAAAATCAGCGAAAGGTCCTAGTAGAAGAAGCTAAAAGTTGTTCTTCAAAAAATGTTCTATCCATTTAAGCGTCTGCTCAACCCTTTCTTTTTCGCTTCAGTGGAGAATTACTTGAGCGTCGAAAACCTCGTGATTGCGTCACTGACTCCAGCAAGGTACGGCGTACAAGTTAAAGAAACTTTTTTGTTGCCTGCTTATCACTTTTCGTAGGAACTCGTTTTACCGTTTTTTGCTAAAACTTAACCTCTCCCACTGTCTCACGCACAGTCGGGATTTCTGCACAAAATACATTCTCAAAAAACATTTTGAAATCTAAACAGGATTCAGAACAAGAAGGCTGGTTGAAGATCAAAATCGGAAATATCGGAACTACAAGAAAAAAACGTCTTGATATCGTAAATCCCTTAGTAGGATTCCGTTGTTTTATCTTATTTTCCGGCTTTTATACCTTTAACAAATATAACAAAAGCTGTAAAAGCTTTGTCAATGTCAAATCTTCTATTAGTCATATTACATTTTTTTGTAGAGACGGGGGATACATGAACACTTTCAAAAAGTTCAAGTTCTGTGGTTTATTCTTTTTATCTAACACATCAGTTCAAAGTTGTCAACAATAGTCGCATAATGGCAAAGAAATGAAGATTATTCAAGAAGTTTATTTTATCAGTTAGTTTTCTTGAAATTTTTTTGATAAAAGTGTTTAAATTATATGCAGAAATAATAATTTGTTGCAGGAACGCTAGCACAAATCTTAAATCTACATTTCATATTTTCTTGTTTAGATAGCCCATTTATTGAACTATGCATAGTCTTAATCAATCTTATGTCAAGAATATAAACAAAGCAGTATAGAGTCAAAATGAAGAGAGTAAAAAAACAAAAAAAGGCGTTAATGTTAGATCGTACTTTGAGCAGAAGAAGAAAAAAAAACTTCTATCTCTATCAGAATAAACGCCTCCATGTCCGCATTGTAGATGTAACGGCAATTATAGAAAAGAAAAATATAGTATTGCTCGGGTTGTTTCTTACCGGTGCCTTTTGTTGAAAAAAATCTTATTTTCAGGAAAAAGGAATCGAAATTTAATCTCGCAAAAAAACGCAAAAAACCGATAATTTTTGTGTGTGAGTGAAGAAAAAAGATGAAACAGACTATATAAGACAGAACAGACAAAAAGAAATGGGAGAACATAAAAGTAGCAAAAGCGAAGTTTATATTACACACACTCACTGAGTTTTAAATGAAAAAAAACAAGAAGGATATTTGAACAAAGAACGTCTTCACACAGTCTGTAGATGGAATAAAGAGGTGGCAAAAACACAACCAACAGGATTCAGAAGGTACACACTAAGAGTTTTGTGCATTAAAAATTTTGTTGAACACATGATACATATAATGACACTAAAAATTAAATTTAAGGTTATACATGTAAAGCTTAGACTAGTCCCAGAAATATCGTTACTTTGATTGTTTCTTCCTCTTTGGTTACGTTCTATTGTTAACAGATATAAGTATAAATCAAGGCTTATTGAAAATTCATAAAAAATTGTAGTTTTCCTATTATTATTATATAGCACACCATGTGTGGATAGAAACTATATAATATTTATTATTAAAATTTTATGTCTAGGTATGCATTACACATTTTAGCGAGTCACACACTATTCCATTTTCGTCTATATTTGTGTATGTGCGTATATATCTGAACAAATTAATGCAGTTTTAATAATGAAGATGAATAGTTTGTTTTTCTGTATTTCGATTATAAACGAACGCACGAGTGCACTGACTTTGTTCGAAAAGAACAGAAAAAGAATGATTAGGTCTGGTGATTCACGTTGATAAATAGGAAATAACGTTTAAACCACCGTCTATAGTCGAATCTAATTTAAGAACTGAAATTGATCCATTGTTTACTTCATATCGCAGGTATTTACGACAAACCATTTAAACTGAAGATATGTTGAATAAAGCTCGTTCATTATTTTCACGAGTATTTTCAATTGAAAATCGATCATCTCAATCGAAAGAGACTGCTTTTTTTGACGATTATCCAGAGAATAGTGACGATAGTTGTACAAGCTCGGACTACGATAGTGAAAGCGACGATTGTAGTCAACAAATGAAAAATAATAAACACAATGAAACAACTTTTCAATCATCAGACAATATCAAAACTGTAAAATCCGTGAAAGAATCGTCACTAAAATCCAATCAGTCTGTTGGAACAAAATCACAGTCAACATCAGCAGTTTCTGATCAACGTTCATCAATTTCAACTATGTTCAATTCTGTAGTATCAAAATCATCATTACATCAACTTCGAACGTTCACTGAAACTGTTGAAAATAATATTGATGATAAAACGAGTTATTTAGTTGTTCTAAATCGTAAAGAACGCAAACAAAATCGGTTAACATCCGCGATGAATATTGCATTTACTCGAGGTAATGTTGAATCAATGAAACGTCTATTATCCAATTTTGATATTGATATTAATCAGCAAGATTCATATGGTATGAGTTATTTAGAACATTCTATTCTGCTTGGATCATATGATATGGTTGATTTATTAATTCGATATGGATGTGATCTTTATAGAGGTGAGTAAGAGATTTCTGAAAAAGTTATTGAGTAATATTAAATTTTTTTATAATTTAGGAGATTCTCATGGTCACAGTTATTTATATGTAGCAATTAAAACAAGTTCTAATAAAAATGATAATATAATAAAATTATTACTTGAAAATGATTGTTCATGTTTACGTGCAATAGATATTGTTTCATTGGTATCTGTTGATAATGTATTACATATAGATTCACACGATTTTATACAATTATATCGTCATATTCTATTGATAATGACATATCATCTGAAGCGGATGCCATTAAACGATGTTATATCGTTAATGACCTACATGATATCGACAGGAATTTTATTATGTAAAAATGATGATATTTATGCTTTAAGTTTGTGCAATAAACAAATTATTGAACAATTTAATAATGATTATATTCAATTATTTATAAAAGTATTGGGTTCAAAACATGCTCTCAAATTAGAACAAAAATTACGATCAATTGTTGTTCAACAGCAAACATTGATATCCGTTGGTCTCATAGAACTTGTATTCAATGATATTCAAACTTATATAGTTAAAATATATGATATGATTAAACAACCAAATAAACTGAAACATTTCTGTCGTTTAATTATTAGAGAAAATTTAAAAAGTTTAAAAGGATCGACGCTAAATTCATTAGGATACAGTACAAAACTTCAAAATTATTTACTCTATTCACCCATATAAAATTTATTTGTACAGAATAAAAGTTAATGTACATAGAATTTCTGCAGTTGGTGGCACCGATGACTCTTTTTTCTGTTGTGCAGACAGCACGAAAAAGGTGTTTCCAGTATTTCATCTAAAAGAGTTGTCACAATAAAAGACATGGATCTTCTAATTCGTCCTGAGTTTTAAAGCTTTTAGTGGATCTTTTATTGAGTCCCCAAAAAGAAATTCATGTTCTTTTCATATTACAACTTTTAGATGATGAAATCGACTTCTTATCTTCTATTTAGGGGAGACCTTCTAATGTGTTAGTCTCTTTAAATTTTTTTCTTTAAGGGAACATCTGTTTTAAAAAATCAGAGAAAAGTCACATCTGCGGGAAGTCAAAGCTCCCACTGTCATCATGAGACATAAAATACTAGATGTTTTAAAAGCAATTTGGATTTAAGGGCATCCGATCGCAAGCTTTCGCAATGTTCCCGTGAACTAGGATCTAATTGTCTATCCCCCACTTTTTTTTCTCGAATGCAGTCTCTTATGGATGATTCATGCCGTTGGTTTCGAATATGATATTCGTTTCAACTCATATCAATCGTCGGGGTGCGACTTCTTGAAACATAAAACTCACTTTCGAAAAATTATTTGTTAATAGTGTCAGTTTGTACAATAAATCCCACAGCTAAAAGTCTCATTAAAATCCAAGGTTTGTACCTTCGGATAATCATTTTGTAGGACACATTGATGAGACACACACTCACATATGTTTCTCTGCCAATTAAATTTTTTGATGAATACTAAAGATCATCATCATCATCATGAAAAAATGTGAAGAATATCGTATTGCATAAGAAACGAACGAGCTTTGATTTTGATCTTTCTTTTCATATCCTATGTTGATATGCACACACACACATATATCTTCGATTAATAATCCTTGATTTTTGAAAAAAGGCAGTTTCACTTTAAAATCATCACTGTCCGTTCACATATTCGTTCAGGTGTGTGGGTAAACATGGCGATGATCTGTTCGTTTTATCTATTTTTTTTTGGTTCGTTATACAGTATACCGATGCTATTCTCTATTTCTTCTCTCTCTCTCTCTCTCTCTCTCTCTCTCTGTGTTGTAGTCTATGTGTATTTAGAATGCAACATTTCTTGTCGAAATTACAGGTTTGAAAGGCTACATGCTTTTTTTGTCTTATTCAAATTTAAAATCATAGAGAAAGATATTTTTAACCGTTGTTAGATTACTAATGCCACACTCCCATCTCTCTCTTGTCATTAAGGATGTTGCTGTGTATATATTTTTACTTTTAGAATATTTGTGGCTTGAATTATTAATTAGAGACGACCGTCTAGTCAACTCGAGACAATAAATTTCGAGGGAAAATAAGGCGGAGGGACTTTCTTAATAATTGAAAATTTTTATTTTGATTACTCAAACGCATAGAAATTGGATTTCATACAACTAAAAATTGGGCACCCTTTTCGTTTCAGGAGAAAAATATTCATGTGTATTGCGGTTATTACTAAGATATTTTTCCTTAACAGCTAACCAAACATTTTAACCTAACCACCTTTTACTATTAGCTACTTTTATTTATCATTTTGGTCCTGCTTTTTCAACAATTAAAAATCAATTTTTTTGCAAATAATTCAAGTTTATAATCGATGTATTCTGATACATATATGGTTCACATAAGCGTAGAATATCGTTTTTCTCATCAATATTCTCCACAACACACGTTTTTATATTAGAAATGATCTATCTCTTTTTGCTTCTGACAACATATGAACATAATAATGTTCGATTTGCGTCTATCTTTTTTTTTTATAATGAAGACGGTGAAATATTCCATATCTAAGATAAAATGAATACAACCACAGTATGCGTATATATACAGTTGGGAACGAGAAATAAAGAGTGAGAGTTAACAAGCCCATAGACAGATCATGTCTGATGGTCAATTTCCCAAATAAACAAACTATCACATGCATGTCACAATGTTTTTAGGAAATGAGAGGAAAGAAAATAACCGCATTCTAATCCTTTATGCAGTATTTCACAAAAATAATATATTCACCTATCTATCAAGCTAATAAAGATATATTAAATATCGACGAAGGAGAAAATGTTTAGCTACTCTATTATCCTTCAATAATTGCCACCATCTTCTTTCTTGATCATTTTTTCTCTTCTTCTTCTTATATGACTTTGTCTCTTTTATTATTATATTATTATCTTACAAAAGAGAAAGGAAAAAAAAGTGAGAAATCTATCTATCGTTCACATATTGCTCATCAACCGTTGCAATGTTCATATACTCGATTACTTATATCTATCACTGATATATCATCACACCACTACACATTGGTCGTAGCAATTTTAAATTAGTGAGATATATCGTTATAGGCATTGGTAAAAATTGTGATAAAACTTGTCATCGTCGTGCACAAATCGTCATAATCAATGTTCGGAACCAAAAAGAAACAACAATAGAAAATAACAACAAAAATTTGCACATTATCTTCTCTATAACAGAATATAGTAGGAAGATTACTGCTAAATGAACAGTCAAGAATAAAAAAGTACGTAATAAAGCTAAATAGTTATCAGTGTTTATGTTGTAAACTATAGCCTCTGAACAGTGACGTCAATTATATCTCATATTTCTTTCATGATATAGTTAATTAAATTCTTAGTCTTGTAAATATCTTAAATATAAATCTTAATAAATTTATATATTTTCGAATGGATATCTATTTGTAATTTTTTCATTTATGATCAACTCTATTCGTTCTCTATGGTATGAATCTATTTCATGTCAGATGAATTGTTAATTCCATGTTAATTTGTTCTAATAGACTATTAACATTATTGCACATACTGTTAAATTCGTGTCATGCGATTATTTATCTATCTATGTGTGTCTATGAACATTTGCTTCGGATAGAATACACTCACTTTTTTCATAACTGTATAAGTTTGAACGGAAAAGACATTTAACAAAAGACAAATTAAAAATTTTTTCGCAGCTGTTTAAATTTGCCAACATGTGTCCAGTTCTTCCGTTCTATTTTATTCTTTCCCTCTTCGTCTTTCATTTAGTATGTCTTAGATTTTATTTTATTTTATTTTTTGTTTTAATTAAGATAAAAAAGAAAAGAAAAATGAACTGTTTTTGTCTATTTCTGTAACAGATGACCACAGACTATTATACATTCTCAAACTCCAATTTATTTTCTGTTCTTTTACTATTTCAGATTATTGTCTAATGATCGTCACTAGAAGTGACGTTAACTGTATCGTTGATTAGTAATTATTATTATTAACGTTCACCCAAACACTCAGATTAAAACGGTGTATTCAAATAAACAAACTAACAAACAAAAAGAGCAAACATATAAATAATGCAGCGCATATTAATGCGTCGTTGTAGTATGTCATCGATTGAAGAAGAAGACGAATTAGGTATAGAAGAAATGATAGATTGGGATAGTGAATTATCAGAATCTGAAATTGAATTTGATGATAATAATGAAGAAGATCCGGTTGATAGAGCGGCAAATAATGCATTAAACAATTTTATTACAAATTGTGCAAAAGTAAGTAGAATAATTTTTATTTATTGTCCTTGTGTTTACTATAGATTTATCGTTATATTTAACATGAGTTAACATATTTTTAATTAAGTCAGCATAAAAATGCGTTGTAGATGTTTTTCCTTTATCTAATATTAAATGGAAATGAACTATGATAAAACGGATGAAGTATCAGTATCATTTTTGTTTTTAATAACAGAGTTTTTAATTTAAAGACATATGATTTATATATAAACAGCATCAAAAGGTCAAATTATTTTTAGCTGTTTGATATCTTCTAAGTGCCATTATTATGTAATAGCCTCTTTTTTTTTTCCATTGTGAATTTTTTTTATTTACTTGATAGTGGTGATGATATCTGTTGCATATTTCTGCCTATTAAAGTACTCTTAACTGTCATTCTAGAAAATATTTGTTTGACTAATAAGTTGATCTGTCGACGACAACTAATAATTTCTTCTTCTATTTGTATTTATATCCAAGGTTATGACGAAAAAAAAGTTGTTCAGCGATCTAACAGATGTATGAGAGTATAGAGAAATGTTTCTATCTCCTACATATTCTCATTATTCACGGTCATTCAACAAACTCTTGTTGTTACTGAGTATAGTCAAACAATGATTATGACTTTCTTTCTTCGATTAAAACAAAAGAAGACAATTGACTAGAAAAAAAATCATCCATGTGCAATGAAATACGTAATTTCATTTGTTATATAACTACGAACAACGACGTTAATATCGCATAATAAATGACTTTATGTACCTTTTTTTAAACACACATACACATCTCATCATCCGCTAACTATCTAAATAACTGAATAATAAATATCATGAGTATTAAACCTATGAAAATCAGGAAACAGGAAGGAGAAAAAGATGTGTCTCATAAAATATTCAACAGATATCTCAAAAGTACTTTCTTCATTTAGTACGTTATTCAATACAAAACATGACACTCATGTCTTATTTTTAACATAGAAAATCAAGGTGTGAATTAATTAATGATACACAAAGTTTTACTCTATTTTTCGTCTCATTATCCTTAAAATTTATTCGCTCTGTACCGTGAACTATTTTCTTCATCGATTTTTAGACTAGCAATAAACTGGTACTTGCAAATGTCAGTTGACTAACTGTGTTTTTCTTAATTCAAAAGAACTGTTGTTGACAAAAAGTCCTAAGAAAAAATTTAGGAAAGCAGTGGTACGAAAATATACAAACTGAACAATTAGTCACTTTATTTTGAGTAATGTGCCCCACTATATTATCATTGTTTGTGGAAGAAAATTAGTTAAAGATAATAATCATAGCAATAGCAGATGTTTTCTGCTACACAGTTGCAGGCGCCTTAGGCATTTGTAATTTTTAACAAGGTATAGAAATTGACAATTTGCTTGTTCCTCGTTCCAAAACTAGTCAGGTTAAATCTTTATTTTTTCTCTTCTTCCTTATATTAAACTCTTGATTAGCTAAGTAGAAATTCAAGTACTTGCTTCAATTTTTGGCTCAAAAATTTTGGCTGAATTGGAAGTAAGTACTTCAAGTGAAACCGTAACCGTATCGAGTTAAGTACATGAAACAAACTATTGCGATAGTAGAAAAAGTTTTAAAGGACAACTGATGGTATGCGTCACTACGTACGTGAAGAAAATGTTTTCCAAAATGATTTATGAAATCTTCTTTAAGAGGCTTGCACAGTGTGCATTTTTCGCATGGCATGTGATTTTTCAGGCTAGTTTTGGACTATGCATTTTCTGATGAACCTTCATACTTGAAACAAAACTTGCTACCATTAAATAGCATATAAATTGGAGTACATTGGTCGCAAGATACATCAAGGAAAAGTGCACTTTCGTTTTTTTCACCTAATGTCAACATCAATGCACACTGTGGCTTGATCTATTAGCATGCCTGAGATTAATCGCAAAATAAAATTCCGAAAGTTGCAATGTCGATAAAGGGCAAAATCTAAAAAGCACTTTTCGACATTTCGATTTTTCAACTGTTTAACTTTCGATATTTTGTTTTTCAATCAATCTCAGCACTTTCTATCTATTGTCCTGTTGAACACTCTTTTGGATTTTTTTCTCCATTCACGTCATATTCTGTCTGAGAAGAATCCCTGATCATGAGATTTTGCTCATTGCATTGGATTGGTTGTTCCTGTCTGACACAGATTTATGGTTATTTTTTATTATTTGCTTGGTGGGTCAAGTTGTTCAGTTATTAATAGTGGCAATCTTCATACTGGAATTTTATTATGTGGCGACAGTAACGATTTGAAATGGCTATACCATCGATACAGTAATAAACTAACATTATTGTACTTTCGATATAGAGGGCAGCACAATGCGTTCTACTACAATTTGTAAAATTAGCATCTTAGAGAATAAATGATAACGCATGTCTTTTGGACAGCGAAGATCAATGTACATCTTTGATAGGCTATGATTTGTGAACATCCCGTCTCGGATTTGTACATGCAAATCTAGAGAGTTTCGCATGTATACAAAGTGTACTCGCAGCGTTTGCTCTAACGTTTCAGGGTTTTAAGCAGCGTTTAGAGCTTAAAAATCAGCTTCCACCATAAAAATTCGGCTAACCATTAACTAGCAGGCGTAAAAGCATTACTGTTTAGGGATACAGTATTTGCCGTTGTTTAGAAAAACTGTAGTAGTACAACAATGATCAACACGGTTTTTAAACATGTCAGGATGAGTCTACAGTAAGGACATGGTCTTTACCATCTATAGCCAAATCTATAAAAAAAAAACCTGTCCGCCATTACTTTGTTGTAACCCATACGTAGAACATATTTGTTCTGTTGGGTTAGAGCTCGAATGTAAACTTTTATTTTTATTTATTTCATATTCTATAATATTTGCGCTTCCGAGGTCAAAAACAATTGACATTTAATAGGATATAAACGGTCTGTTAACGAAATGACTAACAACAGGATTACAACAGGCTTTTAATTGTGAAAAAATGGTCAGTTAACACGCATCATTTATTGCCCTTCATCTGACCTTTAATGATGGCCTAAAAACAAGCAATTAATTGTATGTTAGTAAGGCTCAGATTTAGATAATCATTAAATGGCATTTTATTGTCCGTTTTATGATCGTTACATATACAGACGAAAAGCGGACATTTAATGTTTCCGGTTTAATTCACTCTTTTGTTTCGCTGGCCTCCCTACTATATATCTCACGTTGTTTTCCCATAGAAAACATCACCTTTTGTTCTTCCTCCACTATATACATCATCGAAACTTGTATTGAGCAAATAGCTACTACTTCTACTTATGGTGTCAGTGATGGCACCGATCACATCTAGTCAACCGAAATATTAAAAAGTTTAAAAAGTTATTTATTTCATGGTAGTGGTCAGAAAGAAATTAGTCATGATCAACAGTCGAATCCTTGACCATAAACAGTCAATAATTACGCAAAAATGGCCATCAAGCGGTCACTATTAAATGCTTGTTTTCAGCCTGTTTCTTAGTCGTTAAAAAAATGACACTTTTAGACATTAATACGTTCCCAATTATAATGCCGAAAAATGGTCAGAAAACGGTGTTAACTAGCTAAAGAGTGTCATTTACGATACATTTTGTGGGCTGTTAATAGACAATAAATAGCATCGTTTCCAGCGTCATGGATTGATTACAGAATTGCTACCTCCATGTTTTTGAGTGTTTTCCATTTTTGCCAGTTTGTCATTTCGGATGGAATCAAGCCCATATGTCAATGAAAACAGGATAGTTAACAGACCATTTTGTATGACGCGGGTCATCATTTATTAAAAAACAACGCTTTCAATATTTAAAGGTGGCAAGCCTGCTTGATTTATACAAATAAATTATTGTATTAATTCCAGTACAATTGTATTGAACTGATTAGCGAAAAGAAATAAAGTGATCGATGCTTGATTGTATTCAACATCAACTTTAATTTGTTATTGCTGCTGATAGTTAAGGTGCATGGGAGGAGGTCGATTAAACGTTTATGCATTTTCTTGTCACTTTCTCTGTGTATAAAACGTTCAATCAAGAAAAACAAACTCTCATCATTATGCCATATGTCTTTCGTTCGAAGCTGTACAACTAACAGGACAAAACGTTTTAAATAACGAATATGAACTATATAAAAAAGCAAATCATTAACACTTTATATCTATTTAATACTGTGTGTGCGTGAACGAGTGTGAGTGATGTTGACTAGAATAAGTTATGGCATATTCTCAATTCATTATAGATAAAGAGCAGATAGTGAATAGAAGTATCAATTAATTCCTTGGCTTAAACAGAACTTTTCCAATTATAACTATCCAGAAGCGATAAGACAGCAAGTATCCCTCTTTTTTCAATATTGTAATACGTGGCGCCACGTATTTAACGTATATGGATCCAATGGTGAGTTATAGATATATGCTACTACAGTAAAAATTTCGCTAAAACTATTAAGAGAACAATATCAGTATGTATTTTTGAAGTTTCATTAAATCATCCAAATTATTGATGATACTTCTCATTGTGTTTGACGAATCAACTGATGATTTATCTTTATTTTTAGAGAAATTCTAATCCTGTGCAAAGTGAGCTGAACTCAAAATGTAGCGCTATACCAATAATCAACAGAAATTCTATTCTTCCATTGGCTACACATGGTATGTATTTTTTCGAATGATATTCCAAGGGTTACTCTATCTTTTTGACTAATCTTTTCAATTATTGAGAAGATATGAGCACGAATAATGATTAATATCAACATTGAATTGTATAAGAGATAAAAGTCTGAGATGAGATGATGAACGAATAATCATACAAAGCACAAAACGGATATGTTACATTCAATAGCAGTGTTTATAAACGAGTTATCAGTTAGAGCGAACGAAGGTACAAAATTGGTTAAAGAAAAAGTGTTTTACTATCACTTGTTAGTATAAATGAATGGCTATTTGAGACCCAACGGTGAACGATATGAAGAAACAATATCTTGTTGTTATACTTCTACTCTTCTAATAAAGATAGAGATGACTACACAGTTCAAGAATAATGTGTGTATTTTCTAACCGATGATCAGATCCGATAACTTTTCATAAATGTGATCAGATCGAGTTTATAATACGTAAAAAGCAGATTTTATCCTTCATGAAGATTTAATGAACCACCTAGCTATCAATCAATAACTTAGTAAAAATTTTATCACTTATTGACATGAACCACTGGGTCAGAGCAAATGAAAACAATGAGAGAGAGTAAACGCTTTCTTACAACAATTAGTTTTATTTTGAGAATGAGACAGAATACATATAAATCTATAAGTCATAATTGAATATGCTTCCTCTAAATAATCATGAAAAGTCCATTTCCTTAGCTCCAAAGTAATTTCGATCAATTGTCGCCTTTCGGGGCTACATGTGCATTTACTCAATATCGAAGCTCTAATTATTATCTCATATGTTCTTATAAGTTTCCCGATTATATAATCTATTCTCAGAACAGTAGTATCATTAGAGAAGAAAAAAATAGAGAAAATTTCATGGAACAATGAATTTTTTCCATCTTCCTCAGTGTAATGTCCTTGTCTTAGATTGACTTATACAAATATCATCTATATTCTTATCCAAGTTCTAAGGGACATTGTAAATCTATACATATTCATATTTTTGGATATGATGATAAGATCAAATGTTGAAAGTTTAGTTCATAATACGCGATGTTGTGCCTAGGAAATTTTTTTTAGCATAAACCTTCGTATCCATAAATTAATAATTAGGTATGACCGACTGATGTATGATGTTAAGACGTCCTAACCCGAATGAGAAGATTTACGCCTCTGCAGTAAATATATAGCTCTTTTGAACAATAAAAAAGTTTCTCCTTTTTTTACCTGAAAATGTTACTTGCCCAATGCGAAAATGATTTAATAATTTTCTTGATTACACTGGACTTAGTAGAATCTCACTCATGAACACATAATTACATTACAGTGCTTATCTGTCAACGCGTAAAACCTATAACAATTTCTTCACCCATCTATAATCATTTTTAGCGAGAGTATGCTCTGGTCGGGGTTGCCACCTAGATGCTATAATCAACGCGTTTTCCACCTTAGGTGGCAACTCTGATTCTAGCAGTTGTTTGAACGGTGAGTCATAGTTAGCCTCTTCTACGACGTGTCACTCATATAAATAAAACACTTATAATGTAAAAAGCAACTGTTAACGCACTCTAACAAGAGTTCGACCAAAATTTTTTGTAATAATTAATATTTTTTACATGATGATATTTGGTTTCTTTTATATGAGCATCAATATCATCTCTCTCTCTGTATTATGTAACCTAAGTCAAAACAATGTTCGTTCTTTCTCTCTTGTATATATTTGGCTCACACAAGCATTTATGTATTGAGGCACAACTGTTTTCGGATTGAAACGAGAAAAGAAAACATATATTTATTCCTGGTATTATACTTAGAAGAGAGATTGTACATGATTCTTCTTGCGCATGAACAACTACTTGTCTTCTCTTATTGATTGATTATTAAGAATAACTAAAATGATTAGATCTTTGTCTAACAAAGTGAGAGAGAGGATAATAAATTTTTTTGTCTATTATAAATGTCAAATAATGGTCAGAAATAATATTTATTACATATTGTTATCATGAAATGAACAGAGAGAGAGAGAGAGAGAAATGGGAGTATTATACCTTCCATTACGGAACTGAAACTGTATATCAACAAGTTTACAAGAGAGAGAAAGAGAAAAATGCAAATAAATTTTGGAAAGAACATATCAAATGTTATGCGGTATATCATAAAGAGACTAAGAGCTACTGTGCAGATATGTATTAGAGAAATTACATCAACGCGAGGTCATTTTAATGAAAAAAAAGTCTATAGATAGGCAGAGTTAACATTTGTGAATAGGGAAGATACTTTTTCGAGAGTAGGAAAATCAATCGCTGTTTGTAAATTAAGTGACAATCAGATTTAATCGCATCTCTTCAATTTCTAACGTGGTAAGTTTCAATATATACACCAGGGCAAATGTAGCATGGTGAACTTACATATTTGTCTTACATTTACATACAAAAAACGTACAAAAACTGTAGTGCGTACAAAAACTACAAAAAAGTGGTTATTGCAGTACAAGTAATAATTTTTCTCATTGTTTCAGACGAGGATGATTCAGCTGAATTAGATGCCATAATTAGTGAATTAAGGGAATTTAAAGTTCAATTTGAAGGTTCTTCAAATCCGAAGCAATCATCATCCTCATCTCTATTACATTTACATCCGCCACTCAAACGTCGAAACATGGAATCGGTCATATATCTATCGAAGACATTGTCCTCCTCATCCTCCTCATCCTCAGCTTCGTCATCTGCCTCGTGCGTATATGAACTTCGTACATTAGAAGATCAATTAGAAGCTGCATTAGCTAGTTTAACAATGACCGTTAACGATATAGGCACTTTGAAAACAAACGACTATTGTTGTATAACGCAGGATTTTGTTCAGCAACAACAACAACAGCAACGTTCTTCAAGTAGTAGTGCCTGTAGTAGTGGTCTAGGAGATGAGATAACAAATGGTTTCGATGAATCATTATCATCAATCAACGCTGAACAACAACAAAATATTGAAATGCAAGAAAATACAATCCTAACATCGACAACAATAAAAACAGATGATTGTGATTCAGCATTTTCTGAAACTGGTTCGATACCATCCAATGGAATTTTGAAAATCATTGATGATACTGTAAGTTTATTCTGGATAAAATATATCTTTGTCAGCTAGATATATTTAGTTAACAAACCGAAAACATATGGTTCGAGAAACATTGCCAAAAATATTAGTTCGAACGTACAATGATGATGAATCAACAAAAAGTGAGTTTTTACAGTGTTTTTAATTGTATTAATATTTCATTTTTTTATTTATCGAAAGGTATACTTATTGATGAGACAATGACAATTCGTGATATTATATTTATTCTTGTACATAAGAATCATCGTGCAGCAGACATCGACTTTTCACTAGTCGAAATCTTACCAGATTTACATATGGAACGAATATTTGAAGATCATCAAAAATTAACCGAAGCTATTTTAATGTGGCCTAGTGTATCGACAAACCGTTTATTATTTACGAAACGAACCGAAAAATATGGATTGTTTCATACTACTTTCTGTTCGGTAGGCGTACAAGTATACAAGAAAATATAAATGAAATTTTTGACTCTCTCTATTTTAGATCGAAAAATTGGAGAAAAATAGTTCAGTATCGGATTATCCAATAGAAAATGTAAGTTAAATATTTGTTGTTCATGAAGAATCGACAACTCTCTTCATTGTTCGATAATTTATAGAATAATTTATATGATGAATTATTTAAAACTCCTAATATGGAGGGTATCGTTTATTTAAAAGAAAAATCGAGAAAATCATGGAAAAAACATTTTTGTGTATTACGCTCGTCCGGACTCTATTATGTACCAAAAGGGAAAAGCAAAGTAAGATTTTCTTTTAATATAAAATATCGATAGAAATATAATTAAATAATAACTATATTGTATATTAGAAAGATCTTGTTGGTTTGGTAAAATTTGAAAATGTTGAATTATTCTTTGGTATTGGATGGAAAAAGAAGTTCAAATCACCATCAGACTATTGTTTTGCATTAAAAGTAAATAAGTTCTCAATCCATGAGTTAATTATATCTGCTACTTATGTGTTATTATGTTTTACCTTTTAGCATCCATTAATACAAAAGAAAAGTTCAAAATATATCAAATATATGTGTGTAGAAACTAAAAAAGAATTTGATCGATGGATAGCAAGTATTAGAATAGCTAAAGTAATAATCATAATAATAAATTAATAATAAATCTTTGATTATAAGATACTTTTTTGTTTAGTATGCGCGTCAACTTCTATTAAATTATTTTCTTATTCAAAAAGCAATGAATATATACAGATCATCAGGTATGATTCTCATTTTTTAGTTTTGACAACAATAATTAACGTGGTTAAGTTAAAGTTTGATTAAATTCAATATATTAAAACAGAGTGTGTTTAATCTTTGGTATTGCTTTTTAAAAATTTTTTGGAATCTACATTAACCAGTTCTGTGATCTATTTTCCATTTAGGACGTTTTGCTGCTGTGTGTGCAGCTCAAGAAGAAAGTAGTCAACTTGATCATGACTGTCTACGAACGCCTTCTATATCTAAAAAAAATCACCAAAACAACAATAAAATATTGGATTGTCATGAAAAAATAAATGCCAGTGCTCATGTTGAAAATAGTGGCAAAATATCTGATCTTTGTAAGTGTTCACAACTATAAAAGAGTTGAAAAATATAAAAAGTAAAAGTCTTTATCTATGGTTGTAGCTTCATCATTTAATCCACCAATTACTTCTGAAATAAACTCATCCATAAAGTCAGCTAGCTATATGGATGAATTACGACAACGTTTGGAACGTGTTCTGTCTGATCCGTCATCGGCGCCTGTCATAACTGAACAGAATGACGAGAATATGCTAACAGATACGAATCATTCATTTTTAACCCATCAAACTCCTCGTCTATCTGGTTTACCCATATCAAAATCATTTCGTTTACAAACATCTTCAACAGCAAAAAATGATCATTCATTCGATGGTACATCCGAACTTCGACAATATCAAGCTCACTCCTATCGTCAACTATCAAATATTAACAACAACAACAACAACAGCAATTTAAAACCAACTTTACTCAAAAAGTCGAATGATGAAACATCAACATCAAACATTGAACAATCAAAATGTGCGATAACGAAAGCGCGATCTCAAGTACCACTAAAAAATACCACAGAATTATTATCATCGACTAGATGGAAAAATCGCCCAATAATTACACCACCAAAATTAAAACAACAAACATCTTCAGAAATGAACGATTCAAATACAAAATTACATCAACAATCCACAGAAAATTTATCAAAATTTAATAGACAATTACCAGTGGTGGCGTCAACACCTTTACCAAGAAAACAGTTACCAGTTCAAATATCTGATAGAAATTTATCAGTTTTAAACGGATTCAAACATAAACAGAACACCAATGATGAACAACAAATGAGTAGAAGTTTCACCATTCAAAAAACGAAACATGATAGTAAGTAATTTATCTTTTAACAAGTTATAAATATCAAATTTTACTAATGAACTATTTGATTAGTTTACTGTTCGAATATATTCTCTACGATCTTCTTTATAGGTCGACAATATACGAACAATTCATCTGGACAGTCTAAAACAGATTCATTAAATATTGCTAATACTGATCTATTTCCATTATCATCACGAACGCTTTTAGAAGGTTTAAATGAACAAAAAAGATTTAGCCAACCAGGCACGGTTAATTCATCTTCTATAACGCATCAATACGATGTAAATAAATCATCAAATGAAAAACCCTCATCGCTTTCACCGCCTAGAATACAAACAACAACGACTAATTTTTCAATTCTATCTAAACCAACGACTTTAGCAACACTACCACAAAAGCAAGATTCAACTAAATTAGGAAACAAACAGATTTCATACAAAACTACAGCAACAATAAACAAAAAGACAACATTAAACGATATAAAAAATCGTCGAACACAATCGTCCATACCACCGACTATTTCTTCGTCCTCTTACGTACTTAATAATCATACGGATACTAAAAAAATATCTTCTGACAGAATATCATCAACGTCTCAACAAACTCGAATAAGTAAATCTCACACAACGACGAATGTTACAGCGTCGGTTTCATCGATACCATTAAACAAACAAACGATAACATTGACACAAGTCAAAACTGTTCCACCAGTACCACCAAGAAAATCGAGTATTCCTCGTCCATCATTTGTTAGTCAAATGAAACCGTTACCACCACAACGTAATTCAGCAACGACATTAAAAATTGTTAGCCACTGTTAACTACTTAATAAAGATTATAGTTTTACCCAGTGAATTTTGTTATTCTTATTTCTACTATTACAGTGAGTTAACTATTTATAACGACAATTAGCAGCTATCGTGTATTTTTTACTCTTATGCATATGCAGTAAAACTTTTATTAAAAATTTTATTTCTAAAGCTTTAAATGTTATTGACTAACTCTTGATTATTCATTAGAAAAAGAGTTTTTATTTTTTCAGGTAATAATTGCGTAGAATTAATAACAAGAAGCCGAGGAGAACAATAGAGATAAAATATTCTAGTCACTTTTGCCTAATATTCAAAACTTATTTTGTAAAAAAAAAAAGTCCTTGAAAAATAGAACTTCAGTCTGTTTGGTATAAAAGACAAACATTTACTCTATTTTCTTTTGAACTTTTTTTCCTTTAGGCGAACCAAGTCTGTGCGTGTATCTATCTTATTTTAATTCCATTTTCATGTCCCTAATGATCAGTTCTGTTTTCTTTCACTATGTATAAGAGCCAATGTCTATTTAATTTTGCACAACTTTGTTGTTATTAATAAACACACAAATAGGTCTGCCTGTCGAATGAAATAAATCTATTTTATTTGCAACAACAAAATATACTATCGGGTAAATTTTAACACTTGTTGTTTTAAAAGGCACATTGTTGAGAAATAAGTTTAGTCGAATGAATAGGAAGGAAGAAAGAAGAAGAATACCATTATCTATTCCGGTTTACAATAAAATAATTTTAACATCTAACTTTTTACATCTGTTACTAGAATTAATGTACAGAGAACACTCGAATATAATATTTGATATAAAAACGATCACAGGTGCATATAAAACCTTGAAACTATTAATTTTCTTGTAATCAGGTTTGTGTACTAAACTAAAATGTTTCTACTAATTTTTGCACTATATAATAATCTGATAGATTTCGATGAAAGGTTCCTAACAGACAACTGGCTCAAAAATAGAAGAGCCGCACATCTGCTTATATTGAACGATAACTTTCAGTTAACTCACCATTTATAGATATACTTTAAATCGATATATTTACTTCAACGGTCGTTTGTGGCCACACCGGATACTGCTATTTAGCAAAAAAATAGACAAATCATCCGCAAATAGTTCAAAATATGACTGTGAATGAACGTCAAATTATTGATAAATACTAAAAATAAGAGTACAGTTAAATAAGTGAATATACCGACTGTGTTTCGATACTATTCAAGTATGATACGATCTAAAACATTTTAGTTTTTCACCAATAGCTAAAATCCCGCTCACGTTGGTGCAAAAAGCTTCAAGTCGCTCTAGATAGGAGATGAAGCCAATATTTTTATATCATTCTACTCGCCATTATAGCACGAAAAAGATTACATGCCGGTTTTGGAAAATATTGTTCCGTTGTTGAGAAAGTAAGTTTTTTTGAAAGAAGTAGCAAAAACAAGGAAATTCACTTGTACTTTGCAGTTTTCACTGTCAAAGTTCTATTTGTTTTGCAAAATCAATGTCATATTTGGAATTAGCATGAAAAACTGAATTGATTGATGTGTGTTTCGGGATTTTTGGACAACTTTCATTTTTTTTTAACTTTTCCGCAAAAATCTCGGTGAAAATATCTATGTTCGAGTTTTAGGTTCGTTTCTAAAAAATAAACCGATTTTTAGAATTTTAAAATTTTTAGTTTTATTAAATTTTCGACGGTAAGATTTTGATTCGAAAGGTGCAAACACGCATATTCTTGTTCAGCTCGACGAGCTCTATCTAACCGGAATATCTCTAGCTACTCTATTTTTAGAGAAAAATGAAAAAAAATTGTGGTTAAAATGTATTACATTGAAAACTTGACGGATTTTTACTGAAAAGATTATTGTGAACGAGACAGGCATACAGATTGTAACAGATTATTCTTTCGAACAATTTCAACATGATTGATAGAACCGTTATTGATCGCTAATTATTTTTGTGTCATGATCGTTGTTTGATATAAAAATTAATTTTATATAACTCAGACTTTAAATCTTTGAAAATACTTGAGAACTGAATGCTTTATTAAACAAAAAAAAAGTATTAACAGAGCAGAATTCTATTTTCCTTTGAACGACTCAGCTATAATGTTAGGTGAATCGGTCATTACTCTAATGATTTTATGTTAAAATTGAAGAAACTCAGTGTTACAAACTATAGATTTCAACACGATCCAAGCCAGTTGTGTATATATGCAAAAGGGAAGCGTCAGTTATGGATATTGAGGCTATGATTAACTCTAGTCTTCCATAATTTTCTAATAACTTGACTTTGATCTTTTGCTATTTTCTCGCAACGCGGATGTGAAAAACAAAGAGCAAAGAAAAAGAAAAAGAATTTTTATCATACTCTTTGCATATAATAAATGAGAAGATAACAAAGTAAAAATTTGAAAAATAAGTGAAAACATGATTAATTTTGTGTGTGTGTATGTCGGGGTAGTATTAATTGAACAATAAAAGATCCGAAGGTCTTATACTAGAAACAAAATAATGCGAGGTTTTGTTTAGCTGCTTGTTCATCATGAAATTTTGATGCGGATGATCATTGATGAAAATAAAGATTTTTTTGACGCTTGTTGCGTGATTGTCTATAATTCAAGACTTCATGCAGAACTAAAGAATTATATGACATAAAACAAAAAACAGATTCAAATTGGGTTGGAACTAAGGTAAGACAGAGAGCTAAGTTTAGTTTACATTTTTACTAACTACTGTCTCAGAAAAAAATTGATAATTTAGTATTGTAATCGTAACTTTTTTCTCTAATAATTCCAAGGCTCAATTATTCTTGCAATAGATGAAGCTTGGAATGCTGTATAAAAAATGTTATTGAGTACTTGATTACAAAATGTAAAATGTGTAATGTAAAATACTGAAAAGGTTCGTGAAGTTTGTGAAATATTTTTAACTAATCTAAAATATTTTTATAAACATTCAAATAGGTCTCTCAAGAGACTTCAGATCGAATTTTTTTATGTTGTCAAATGTGTTCTTTCTCATGGTATATGACAAATTTGGTTCAAATCTAGTTTTACGATACAAAAGGTATCATGACTAACATTCACTAGATAACAAGAAAATGATATCTTTCCACTTATATTAATAAAATAGAAAAGTTGCTGAACATTTCGCATTCAGATATAAACAACTTGTTTCTCTTCAAAATACAAAGCAACTCCTAATTCCAAAGGCTTCGTTTTAGATGAGTTATGAGAATGTTAGACAATAGTACACAGATGTTCTGCGAAAATAAGTAAAACAAAAAAATTCTCATTCAGCCAGGTGTGTTGTAGGACAAACTTAATTCTAAGTAAAAAACAGATCTTTTCTAGAGTGAGAGATTTAAATTTGTCAATATCTCAACAGTACTCGAAATATTTTATATACACATGTGTCTATGTATTAAGTACATGTACACCTCCTTCGTTAGTCAATTTTTATGATAACTTTTTTTTCTTTTTGATCAATAAAAATAAAAAGAAATTACTGCTGTTTTATATAAACGACTTCTTTTCAAGCACACTAGTCTTTCTAATTAATGTTTAGGTTTTATTCTACTATGGTAAAAAAAAGAAAAGAAAAATAACATGTTGTGTATATCGTATGCTGTGTGTGCTAGTGCGTGTATATGTGAATAAGATCGATTTAAAATAATAATAATTGCGTTTCTTTGTGTGCACTTTTTCCTAGTGTTTTTCTTTCTTCTCTTTCGCATTAAATTTAACACTGAATATAGTATTAATTTCTACTAGATCAGTTTTCTAGACATCTTTTAGCCTCAATTTTATTAGTCACTTCAATGAATTCCGAGTTTGCTATAGGCTAGATAAAAATTTCGTACGGTATATAGAATGCTTTCAGTCAGAACCTGTTAATCAAGACTGTATGAGTGATTCGACATGAAAAATAAAAATTTTTTTGCTAACAGCATATTTGATATAATTGCAACTGAAAAATTGACTGTTATAAGCTGCGTTTACGCAAAAGACCGTTATACTCTCTCTTTTTTTCTTGAAATATGTTTATGTGAAATTAATAACGTGTTTTTTTCTAAAAGAATCTTTCTACTTTACAGTTCTAGTTAAAGAGACCTACTTGATTATATTCATAATTGACTTTGTGAATATTCTTAGGAAGGGATTAATAGATTACAGCGTCCGGTCTATGTGCTGCTTTATTTCCTCGTTTATTTGATTCAAGAAATATTTTTGTTCTTTTTCTTAATAAGTACAGTTTATGAATCTATATGTTCTCAAAATTAAGTCTCTTTTTCTAATAACGTATCTATTTACAAATCAATTTAGACGGATAAAAAATAAAAAATTTTGGAATCAAAAAATATTTTATTTGAGCTAATATTATTAGAATATAATCACATTGCAGGTGTGTAACCTAATTAGAAAGCCACAATTGGAATTAAACAAAATCATGAGTGACTAATGTTGTTTTGCTTATGAGGGTTGGCAGTGCTCCGTTAACAAATACTGAGTGAACATTTATGGTCCCAGTCCTAGAACCATGCTCTATAGTGGAAGAAACTCCTTGTAACCAAGACCTGAACTTTTGAATTTTTTCAGTAAAATCTTAATTCAAGATCATGGTAAGAAAACGATAGAAATTAAAGAAGTTCCAAGAACCCAAGATCTTCGATGTCTTAAAATTTCTTGAGTTCTTGATAATTTTTGAATCTGTTTTACTTCCACGAGGAAAACAGCAGATTTTGTGACTTTTGTAATCTGGGCTCCGTTCCACAAGCAATCAAGTTCTTTCGAATTTTGTTCCCTGGTATTCTTCGTGACTTCGTAGAGCCCGAAGAATTTTCGTGCGTTTTTTCAGCTTAGCTGCATTTTCAGTCATTTTTACAGATTTTCGAAATTTCATCGGATTCTAACCCCTTTTTCCGATTTTTTCTTGTACTCTCAGAGATTCCTCCAGTTTCGCGAACTTTGGGAAGTTTGTATAGGATTCCCCAGGCTTCTGTAGGCCTGGGAGTCCACAGTTGCTTGGAATTCTGCTGTTTCCCCCTTGTTTATTTCACACTCCTGCTTGCATACAACTTCGAAGTTTTTCCCTTTTGAGCTAACGAGGAAACCCCATTCATGTGCCCATTTCCGTTGCCAATGGTTTATATCTCGATAGAAGATATCGCACTAGTAAAAACCCTAAAAGCTGATCGGCTCATGGCGCTTTCCTCAAAAGTTATATCGGTTTTTCTGTTTCTCCGAAGGAAACACGAAAAATCAAAAAATTAATAACTCTGTCAAATAAAGGAGTGAAGGGCTAAAAATTCTTTCTCAAGCCCTCCTATATGTCTTTCATATCCCTAGAAAGTTTGAGTTGTCGAGCTCGTTTTGTTTCCGAATTGTTGAATTTTTAAATTTTTCCATTGATTTGTCCTTAGATACGCTCACAATAACACACAATGTTTGAATACACGTCTGTTCGTGCAGTTTAAACAACTTCAGCACTCTTTCTATGCTATTCTATAGCAGAGACGGGTGAATACTTTTCTCCAGTATTCCAGTACTTTAGATCTTTCGAAATGTGGAACAGAAAGCAGAGACCGGTTTTATGTTCGTTCGATGCAGTTTTTTCTGCACTACAAAACTATATAAAATACTACACCTTTTTATGCTTTGATCGAGAGAAATTTAATTCGAAAGCAATACTTAGAGGGTAAATACTCGAAAATTTTTTCACCTTCCGAGTACTTGCTTTTGAATTAAATTTCTCTCGATCAAAGCATAAAAAGACGTAGTTTAATTTTATATAGTTTTCTAGTGCAACAAAAATTATATCGAATAGACATAAAACTGATTTCTGCTTTCTGTTCCACATTTCGACAGATCTAAAATATTGAAGTACTCGACCATCTCTGTTCTAGAACTCACCGCTCTTGTATTGTTTATACAGCACTGTAGAGTGATACGGTAAAAAATACAATACAAGATTTCATTTAGGTCTTGTGCTGAAATCAGAAGTTTTTGTCAAAATTTTGACTAATGACAATGTGTTATATCATTCAGAAATTTTCTCAAACCTGATCAAGATGTTACTCAAGCTGGGCAAAATCTGCGTCCTACAATCTTGATCAATGATATCATCCCCAGATCTTATCAGATGTCGATATATCTACATAAGACCTTGAATAAAATCAGCAGACGCTTCTTAATCTTTAATGATTTATTAAGATTTGCGTCAAGGCTTTTTATCTGGGTTGTTAATCTTATTTATCAATAGTTCCATTGACATGTAATATTCTACTATTTTAGACACATAAAACCAACGCCGATTATTACGACGTCTTCATTCGTCGATTGATTTATGGCCGAAACAGTACCGCCATCAGCTGCGAAAAAACATTTATCTTCAGAAAGTCTTGAGAGTAATAGCAAATTGAGAGAATCCAATGCACCGTTTCGTTCGATGATCCCTAAACGTGTCACTCAAGATGAAACTTTAGATGACAATGATACATTCGAAAATGATTCGTCGAACGAGCGAACGATTGCGCGTCAACGTCGTACGGCACAACATCGATATTCAACCAGAAAGAAAAAGAGTTCAACATCAACAGATGTAAGTAACATTTTTCTTACTATGATATTTGTTTCACAACGGATTATTAGATTTAGAAAAAAAAAGAAAGCAGGTTGTTTTATTAACCCGATATATTGTCATGATTACATTACATGCAATTATCCTTTTTCACCTTTCTTTAGTTAAGCACGTCTTTGTTATAAGTTAAATGATATGAGTGGAATATGAAAACTTTTTCCTTCAATTAGTCTAATATCATGATTTTCTCAAAATATCATAACTTTGTTAAGATGAATGAGTAATGCAGTTTGATCGACTTCTTCCGTATGATGTATCATTTTTTTCGTCGAACAACATGAATATTATTTTTTCTACCCCATTTATTCATCTTTCTAGTGTGTCATCCAGGTGTACTTGAAGCATAGTCATTGTGTACTTAACCACACTTTCGAAATTTTTATTAGTTTATAATAAAAAAAGGAAAGAAAAGCACTTTTTCCTACAATATTTTGTGAAGTTAAAGTATTCGTTAATACTATAGTTCCTTCTTATTAATAAAAGGTATAGTCAATAATTGTGAAAAAAACAAGTTTTTGTACTAAAATGCGCTGACGTAACAGTCAAATATAAGATAATCTGATATAGAGTTGAATTTTAATTTGATTAAGAAAATTTTTAGTTATCAGAACAAGTATAAAACTTTAAAATTTTAGATATATAGAATTTATTATATTCCCTTGTAAATGTTGTATCTTAGCTAAGCCTCTATGTGCTCTATTCGTGTTGCATTATTTTAAATTTATTTTAATTTTGAATCTTCTATTAGAATTATTGTATGCTTCTTTAGAGTAGTAGATATATATTCGTAGTGAATTATATTTATCCTTGATATATATTTCATAAGATAGATAGAATCACATTCCATTTCAGTTTTCGGTACAGTTTTAATTTCTTATATAAATATGACTTGCAAACATCTGTTACACATAGTTTTGTTATGTTAAAAATGAAAGAGAAAAAAGAAACAAATTCTTTTGCAGTTTTTCATTTTAAAAAACAGTAGAATATGTACGTGCTTCCTCTGGCTTGCTTGATTACCAGCTGTGTTCTATATATACCGACCATGAAGAGCCAAAAAGATAAGAATTTGAGAATAGAGAAAAAGAAAGAGAGAAATGAGAAAAAAATAACTCTTTATATATATATATGGTACGGTATCACTTATACATATATTTGACATCATCATGACCTTTGTCTTGTGTGAATGTTCAATGTACTTTAGATATAAGTACAATTTCAGCTGCTGTTATTACTTTTTTTTTCATATTTGTTCGACGGACGAGTAAGGAAAGTCAAAATAATTTGAAATTTGTACAAAAGTAATGGATGTTTGTAGATAATATCAAGAGATTTTTTTCACATTTGTATCTATCGATAGAGTCAGTCTATGAAAAATTTCCTACGTTAGAGAAACAAAAGTTTTGTTTGAGAAAGCTAAAATTTTCTGAATACACAAAGATCTCGACCAGATAAGACAAATCAACGAGAGAAACGTGATTTTCAAATTTTTAAAATATATCGGTATCATGATTTTCTTCTAACTCTAGTATTTCGATTATGACTTTGATAAATATTTTTTTGTCAATTAGCAATAGACAGAAAAGTGCGTTGCAGAGAATCGTATGCTCCGAGTAGAATATTATAAAAAATAACTTTCTGCTACATGCGTGAGTGAAAATTTTGAGATTCGGAGGTCAAAAGAGGATATTTTAGCAGAGATATGAATAAGTCAAAGTCCGGACTTGAAGCATTTTTTTTACTTGGACTCAAAATTTTTTTTTAAGTCCAATTAGATACTATCATATTCAACATAAGTTAGTGTAATCTTAAAATTTAACCTCTTTTTATCAATGATATATCGAATATACAATAATGACTAAAACTTATTTACCGATCATAGATGATTATGACACTCGTGAAGTTGGTCGTCAAGTATACAACATAGTGTAGCTAGTATTTTATCTGTTGTCTACTCGTGTGGACTATTAAAACAGAACAGACATATAAATTATACGGGTGTATATATACGGGTGCATGCGAATATTGTTTCATTTGTGTGTTTAATTTTTAATTTAATCGATCCATAGGTAAGGGTTGCCTATCGAATCAAAAGCCCCTTCCAAGATGTAAGATGCACGGAAAGCAGAGTTCGAGCGGAACTTAGATTTCGCTCGTTTATACGTCATTTGATAGAGAATTGAATGAGGATCACGAATATCACGTCCCCATCTCAGTTAGAACGAAACTCTCTTCAAAAACCACTAGACACCCTCTGGAAATTCTGTGAAGATCTCTACACTGTCATCAGATTCTCCATCATTTCTAATCCGTTCTGCGTTATGAGACGTGACTTTGAAGCAAAACTCGCGAAAATAGTGCAAAAGGACTTGGCCGTCGTGGAGACATGCTCAGTAAAAGTCAATTTTCTCAGTAAAGAAAAAAATTTCGAAAAAAGCTCTTTATTACTTTGAAGCCTGGCCTCTGGCGAATCTAATCATGTAAAAGTTTTGGCACTAGCTCCTTTGGGAAAGCTTGAATTAGGGCCGCAAAGTTTGATGCACGCTTTCAACGCGTATCGGTTTTAGACACCAGGAAGAATCCACTTTCGATTCTAGAAGTCTGAGAGTTGCTTTTCTAGATTCAGTTTTCTGCGCTGAATCTGAAACATTTAACCTCAAAACTCGAAAACGAAATCCGGAAAACTTAGGGTCACTTTTTTGAAAACGTACATTTTTACGGTTTTTGACATGCTCCTAGTATTTTGAGGACATCTCAGCGAGGAAACGGTTTTGGAAGATGGGACGTGATATTCAGGATCCTCATTCAATTCTCTATCAAATGATGTATAAACGAGCGAAATCTAAATTCCGCTCGAACTCTGCTTTCCGTGCATCTTACATCTTCGAAGGGGCTTTTGATTCGATAGGCAACCCTTACCTATGGATCGATTAAGTTAAAAATTGAACACACTTCACCTATTTCATGCTCACATTTCGAATATCGCTATACCTAATATTTGCTTTTCAACTTTCTCGGATATACTGCATATAAACGCAATAGAAATCGGTGGAATAACCCTATACATCATTCAATGAAAAAGGCAACACGAAAAAATTAATATTTATTCTCTTTTGGATTTATCTTTTTTTCTCTTGGCTTCTCTTCCTTTCTCTACGCACTAATACTCTATGACTGTCAAACACTGACGCCTTTCCTTTTTTTCTTCGAAAACAGACATTTTTACAGGGACAAGAGATGCTCTCTTTCTCTCTTTTTTTCTCTCTCTGAGGGAGAATAAAAAAGAAAAGAAAAAAAATAATCATCATCCACATCTACCAGTAAGTGTGACTGTGGGGGTATACTTATATTTTTATTTTACGATATGTAATTAAAAAAACAAACATACGAAATATATATAGAGGTTTTTACTTTGTTTCGTCTTTATGATTTACCCATCAACAGAGGAAGTTTATCCTTTTTAGTTTCAGACTTATGAACAATGAAACATAAATATCTTTGAAGTGGATTATATGTATGTTTATGTCACAGTCTCTTATCACAGTTATAATTTATAGTTTCAATATTATTATTAATAATAATAATAACTTTAATAAGATATAATTCTTTTTTATTCTCTGTTCTTCAAGTGGTAATCGGCGTATTTTTTAGACATTATATTTCAACATAGTTTCTCTTATGTTTCCATTTAAAAATAAAAACAAAGCAGGCAAAACATCGAAAAAAGAACAACAACAGCAACATCAAACGTCGATTGCATTAACAACCACAGCACCAAATAGTGGCCATAATAATAAAAATCAGGATGAATCACAAAAAATATTACATAATATTCCCAGTGTATCACAAATCGCACCAATTCCAACAAATCAGTCTAGTAGTGTTTTACCCATCCTAAGCTTAGATGGACGAGATTATCTTCATGCAAACAATACGAATAATTGCAATGAAAATAGTAGTGCACAAACAAATCAAAATCATTCGTTACCGGTGAGAGATAGGCCACAGAGTTAAGATCAATTTTGAAGGAGTTAATCAAGAGATCAAAATATAGCGTTCGCATCCCTCGTCGTGTCATTTTCGAAAAAATTCAACAATATCCTCGATCGATGTTTTTTGTCTGCATGAGAATTTGTCACTATAATTATTTTTGAGCCTTCTTTGTTCTCTATTATAATCCCTGATTAGCGATGCAGAGCAGGTCGACCTTCTGGACAGAGCAGGGCAAAGTCATAAAATATAGAGAGCAGGACAGGATTAGGTCACAAAGTTTGTTTCTGTTTCTTTTGACTAACAGACTGCTTAGAAAAGCTCTATCGCTTTCCGTTTCTTGCAGATACGAGTTGCTTTGTTAATGTCTAATTAAAAGTGTGATTTTTCTGAATTCTCGAACTTTTTTATTTTTGTTGTAACGCACTCATTAGGTTGCTTTAAGCTTGGACAAAGTGGATCTCCATATGATACGATAAGATCTCTTGTTATAAACTGTAATATCGCAATAGCGAAAACATCAGAATAAGGCTTTTCGATTGCGTCCAGTTGACAGAGTGTTGTTGACTCTGAATTTATCGATAATAATATAATCTATTTATGAATGCAGTCGAATCACTATTGCCATGAAAGCGGATTATAGGTCATTATCTAATATATTTTTTACGATGCGAATGTCATTGTACCGCAAATATTTGACATATACACTTTTTGCTTTCAATTTTCTTTCCTCTTTCATTGGAATATATAATACTTATACTTAATAAAAACTTTTACTGCTGTATTCCAGTCACCTAAATAAATCTTTCATCTTTCAACAGAAAAATTGTTTTTATCTTAGTTTAACGAGCATTATGAGGTAGGTTGATGATGTGTTACAGTCTCACCAGATGTGAAGAGACATGAATTGTGCCTTCCGAATAGCATGAATAAACTAGTCAAATTATAGTATTTTCTTGTGACTTTTCTATTATGCAATGGGCAATTGTGTTGTCTTTTTGTCTCTTCACTCTATACTAGAACATAAAAGTTTTCAGTAAGATGTCAATTATTCAAGATTCATTTCCGTTTACATTTATATAATCTCTAATGATTTAAGCATGCGATTCATCTCCACTTACGCATAATATTCTATTCATTAACTGAATTCTTTTTTTTCCTTTTATTTTAGCATCGAACATGTTTAGATCCAACGACTAGAAGACAATATTCATATTCTCAAAGTTCGGTGCTTTCCGACGCAAGTAAGCTTAAATTATAAATGCTCATTCTTTTCTCTTCTTGTCTTTCGTACACGTGTATCTAATCGAAGATCAACTTTCCTCAAAACTACAGGTGAAAATGAAGAATTATGATAATTTAATATCTTTACTTAATCTTACTGTATAAACAATTAACAAAGTGTAATTTTGCTTTTACTTATGAACTATCAGTGCATTAAGTAATCACCTAAAGCTGTTTTACCTCAAATGAGATCTAATTCTGTACAAAAATATGCATCCCCTGAAGTAATATACAATTTGTTCAAATAATAATTTTCTATTTTATCTAACTCAAAAACAATCAGGGTAATTACTACCATCTAGTGTGATGAATAAGTAGCATCATGGTCTACGATCACATTACATCGAGAAACCTTGTACAATGTACTAAGAATATATTTTTGAAGAGCGTACTAAAGTACAGTTGTAAGCTAATGCTTATTCTAACAGTTGGCACCAATGATAAATATATTGAAATACGTTCGAGAGCGCTGGATATTAGAATGGTACGAGATAAAGTATTTTTTTGGAAAGTTGTAAGCTATCTGCACAGAAATCTAAAATTATTCTCTACATAACTTCTAAGATTCTACACATTTCTGTATTTTATATTCTTATGTGAACTTGGCAGACAAATCTGATCTCTATATTTTCTACTTTAATTGCTGTTTCTTCATTCACCTTTTCACTTTCTTTCATAACTCAATTTACGTAATTGTATTTTTTACTTAAGTAGGAAAGTTTCGAAAGAAATACACGCCTTAGTTAGATACGCTAGGTGGTCACCGTGTAAACTGATTATTTTACGTTAGGAGCATCTTTATCGTTCGCTCGTTTTGTTCAAGAAGTCCCTAAATATTCGATGTACTTGAAAGAACGATAGAAATTCTGTTATGTTCGAAGAATAGAACTTATGACACCCATATATGTGTAATGCGGGAAATAATACCATCAAACATAAACATAAACGTTTTTTGTTTCTTTTCTGTCTTTCTATATGTTCCTACGCTTCTATTAAATTAAATTCATTTCATTGCGTCACTAAGAATATTACTAGTGGGGGGGGGGGGGGGGCCCCCGCCGGCCGCCGCCCCACTCCGTTTAAAGTGGTGGGCCCTTTGAAGAAATTAAAAAAAACAAGGGGGCGG